GAAGAACCAAAGGAGGAACAGCCCGGCCACTCGAGGAAAAGCATTTCTGAGGAAGTGGATTTAGAGGAACACTAGAGCACCCCAAGGTGGAAACAGAAATGACACACCCAGTACAGAACACTTGAGGTGGAACCTTCAAGAGAGAGGACTGCAAGTGTAGAGGAGAGAAGAAGGAGCAAAGCACAGAAAGGACAAAGGAAGATGTTCTTGGGACCAGTCTGTTCTTGGGTTGTGAAGCTCTTTAGTTGGTTCTCTTGAAGCTAAATTAAAAAAAAAAATGGCTGAGGAGCTTGGTTTTATGATATCTGTGCTCAAATCACTTGTGTAAATAAGTATTTTAATTTATAAAAAAGACAGGTGAACATGAAGTATCTAGTACTCTTGCTTTCCAACATGGAAATTACTTTCACTCGCCTTCTAAAAGAATTATTACATTTTTCTTACATTTGATATTATTTTCCTTTAGGAGAGTGACTCTGGTTTGTGCAAATCACCATGATGCTGGAATTATTTTCCCTTGGGAGATGATATATTGTTAAATTGGAGGGGTAATAGGCTTTGCAGAATGTATTTCTTGATTGGGTTTGTTTGGCTTTGAGTTGACTTTTTGTTTATCGATTTTCTCTACGAAGCAATTTAGATTTTTCCCATTTTTGCAATCTTTTTTTTTAAGTTGGAAAGTGGAAAAGGAACATATTTTAATAACTTATGTTGTGTATAGTTTTAGAAGTTTCAAAGAGTCTTGATATAAAATCGGTTTATATTCTGGACATGTTGTATAATAAAGTGTTTTATTTGTAAAAAAAGAAGGATGTCCCACCCAGCCAAAGGGCCTAATTCTAAGACAAGTCCTCAGCCGCAGGCTCTCTGGGAAGTCCCAGGAATTCCCTGCAAGGTTCAGCACTGCGCCACCCTGAATGGACACCCATCGATCCGCGCCTTCCACGTGGACGTCGCCGTGCTCACGCAGGCGTGGCTGTTCTCTCTCTCTTCCATTCTTGCCCTGAGCTCAGACAGGCTTCCCTTCTCTCCTATCTGCCAGTCTCTGTCGCTGCTTTCAGCTTTTCTGCTAAGCAGCCTGCTTCAGCAAGCGAGCCTGTCACCGTCCTCGCCTGGGGTGCTGCTCTGTGCATTTCCTCCTTTGAATTTCTGCTGCATTGGACCAAGGACCTACTAAAACTTCACTCAGAGTGGGTGGCTGGCCACCCGGTGGGTGGGCCGGCTGGGTGTGGGTCTAAGGTTCTGCTTCAAATGTCCTGATCTAAGCAACGAGACAGAGAGAGGGTCTCTTCAGTTAACACTGGTACCTTTTCCTGTAGCACAACTGCAGCATTTTGATGGATTTTCTGTGTGTGTGTGTGTGTGTGTGTGTGTGTGTGTGTACAAAGATGTAAATATAGTTTTCAAAATAAAAGTCAAATTACACGCTATCCTGAAACAATCACACAACATAGGATGGATATTTCCCTTTGATATTACATGTTCCTGTGGAAGTGACCTTGTGTTTCAGTTCTGCATGGAATGTCACCATGGGAAGGGACCAAAGCTTGTTGCCCCAGGGCTGGGCCTGTCCGAGTGCAAGGTGGGAAAGGTGGAAGGACAGGCTCTGAGCAAGTCTGCCTCTGCTTCTGCTTCCTGGTCCCACTGCGGCACAGAGAGGGAAGAGCTAGTCTGGGAGCCCAGGAGCTCTGGACCTGGCCTGGAGTGTGACCCCGGCAAAGCGGCTTTTCTTATTGTAACCTCACCTCTCTTTCTGCAAATGGTGGGGCTGGACTTCATAAGCATTTAGATAACTGCCTTTGCTCTCACTACCAGG